TTCTAACCAGTTTGAGGAAAGGATTATATTCTTTTGTAAACTTTGAGGCTACAATCACACATCTTGCACAGACTTCACATTAAAAAGCTTTTTGTTTGGTCTGCTCTGGTTCTACAACTCCTTTGTGGAAGCTTCTGAGAGAATGTTTCAATTTGTGGCTCCGGATCAAGAATGACAAGAATCCACTGTTCAAAACCGTAAACTCTTTTCTCCTGCTTCTCCCACATTTACTCTATTCTCAAGGGCGGTTATTTTCCCAGATGTACAGTATCCTCATTTTTATTCTGAGAAAGTGAACTTGACTATCTTGGAGGCAGAATTTCTCATGCGTTTGGTCTAAACTCTGCTGCTCATTGGCCACAGCAGCGAGCAGTGTTTGTTCAAGTGTAGAGCTGGTCTTTCACTGCACATGTTTGAGATGTGTGGGATTAGAGCCATACTAATACTTAGATGTTTGGTACACCTTTAGTATGGGATTGTGTTGTCCCAATATCAGTCAGAAATAAATGAGTTTAACATGCCACTATCAAAACACACTGCCATCAAAGATCATATTGATATTGACTTCAAAGCCTGGAAGTATTTAATGAGAGCTGGTTGTAAAAAATTATGTAGCGTGGTGTATTTGAATTCCAAAATCTTGTTTCAAATATTTAAATTTTGCAGGAGAATAAACATCACGTTTTATGTAATGAGACATGTTACAGAAAGTGGAACGTGGCATCAATATCAGGGAAGTTGATCTAATCCAAGGTTAGTTTTCCAGTAAAGAAGCAGTAGAACCAGGAAGTAGGACATAAGGCATTTACAAGCTTACGATTACATGATGATGGCCTGAGCCTTCTGGACAATCATGTAATATGCGTTTCTTTATACTGTCCTCTCATTCCGCGGGTTTTGGGACTGGGACAGGAGCACGATTTCCTGTTGCTGAACCTTTTAGTTATAATCATAATCATAATCATAACAATCATAACAATCATAGTTTTCACATTTTCAAAAAATTTTACAAAGTGCTGTTAGTTTTATACAAAGTTAATAGTCATATTCAATATCAATAGCTTTTTAAACAAGCTTTAAAAGTGATGAGTAAAATCAATTGTAAAACACGCTCAAACAGGGGTGATTGGCTCCCGTCTGTTAAAACCAGATCATGAGTTGCTACATGAGCAACTCATTGTTGTAAACTTTGTTTAAGCAGTCCCTTTTATCACTTACAAAGGACTCCTCCTTTAGTCTCTTCCACATCAAATCTCTGAAAAATATGGCGCCTGGTAGAAATACATTGATGATACATGAAGACTGTTGAAACCTGACCTTATGGGAGTAATAGCAGCCAGGAAACCTGTGCGGAATGTTGTAAAGCAAAAAGGGCAGTTGAGTTCAGAGGTTTTTTTTCTTTTCATAACCACAAAAATACACAACACAATTGACCCAGTTTCCAAAACAGCAGGCTGTGTGTAATGCTTGAGGAGATTCTGATTTAGGTCTAGTTCAAAATGCACTGTGGTTTGCCTGGCAATGCTGTTAAAATATTCTTAAAATAATTGAGTATTGGTTTACAAGCAGCTGGTCTTGATTACAACCTATCTGATAAGCCATACAGCGAGAAACTCATACTGTACATGCAAGTCTTTTTTTCCTCCAGGCTTGGCTACATTTGACACAGTGCTTAGCAAATTCAACACACGATATGCCCCCGGCTGAATAAAATCTATAAATAAATGTCTATTAATACCACTTCATGTGTGAAATGTGCACGGCTGCTTCAGACCACTGTTAATAGCATTGTTCTTCACATGTGTGGGAGTGCAGAGGCGACAGACTTGAAAGAAATATGAATCATGACTGCATTTGAAGCTGGCTTATTGAAATTAGCCTGGGTTTATCCTTGAAGGCAAGACGTGCAAAGTGACATATGGTCTGACCGTCCGACGGAAGAGAGTGGGACTAAATTAAGAGGAGAAACAAACAAAAGCCAGTTCTGTCTCGTTCACTGAACTAAATCTCACCAGTTTTGTTTAGCGGTGGACGGTCTACTTTTAGATCATTCAAAAATGCAGACACTCTGGCCGACCCTTGAGTCTAAACTGGAACTTCTGACCTTCAATCACAGGATATCCAGCATTATGCGAAGACAAAACGGTAATTCTGAAGGATTTGTGCAAAATTATGGACTTTTTTTGGAGAAGTAATCTTTTCAATCTGCTCGTTTATTTTTTTTTCTTTGTCAAACCGGTGCTCAAAGGGCTAGTGTGGCTGCTGTTTTTCATTCCAACCAAACTCCAGACCCCACCCGTTTCATCAAGTCCAGTCTTTACCACCAGTGTAGTCTGGTGTGCACTGACTTGGACGGAATTAAAACCTGCAGCCACAACAGCCCCGTGAGGACAGCCTTGAAAACCATGTGTCAATGTTAACACGTATATAGTTCCGTATGTTAAAAATTGTTGCTCATTGTCCACAAAGTCTATTACTCAGTACAAAGATGGTTTGTAATTTTGCCCAGACCAAGGTGCTCTGTGGCTGGGTAAAGGGGGGGGCTACATGTGGTGCTCCAGACCTGAGGGCTGTGGTGGCCGAGGCTCTGCTGAACTTGACTCACAATCACTGGTTTTAAAGTTTTCTTACAATGCCGGTTGGATACGTGCAGACTCCGATTCTGCTGAGACCATGACGTGACGTTTGTTGCGCGTTGTTGTGTGATTCACGATTGTGGTCTAATGCTTAGTAGCCAAATTTGGACGGGAATCAGACCAGTTGCCATTTCAGTCCCACCACAAAAGGCCAGTGAATGAGGATGTTACTTTACCAGCTCTGCTCTCACTCATAAATAACTCTTATGGCTAAACGCAGTCTGCTACAGTAATGTTTGATTCTGTTCTACCTTTTTCTGTGCATAGCCATTCATATAACCTATCATGCTAGATGTGTTCAATTTGACTTTTAAATGTTTTGCTTCTGTCTAATCGTGAGATCAGCCTTTCAGTGAGTGCCAGACTTTAGCTGGCCAATCAGCTCTGTGTGTGAAAGATTTAAAAAAAAACAAGTTATAAGATAAAGACGCGATGATTTTTAAATTAACAGAATAGTTTTTTTTTTTGGATTTTGGAAGACCATAAATGTGTGTATGCAAACATGTCAACCCTTTTTAATTTTGTACAGCCCTACTTGGATATAATTAACATTTTCCAGTGTGTTAAATGCAGCCGTGTCTGGTGAGCGGTGAGTCAGGGCTGGACAGACTGGACATTGAATTACACAGTGGGGTCATTGATGTCTATGGGAGCAGAGGGATTACTGCTTAGACTGCTGACACCGCCTGCACGTGTTCAAACCACCTTTTTCATCTAACGCAGAGGCGCTTTGCTCTCTTTGTCTGTGCTCCATGGCCTTGGTGACCAGGAGGGCGCAAAGACAACTATAGCCGGTCCCAAAGACAACTATAGCCGGTCCCAATGGAGCAACTGCTTTCTGGGCGTTTGATGTGATTATGGCAACATGGCCGTGAGCAAAGAATATGAGCCACTTTGTGCGTCCGGCAATTCCAGACATGAACGCAGAGGCCCAACTCGATGAAAGGCTTTGATGTCTCAATCACAGGTGTCCTCTTTCATGTGAATGAATGGGCTTGAAATGGAACTGTATGTATTTGGACTCTAGCCTGAGTCCTGGATCTATAGCAGGGGGGGGGGACTGATTTCAGAAATGACTCCAGTGACTCCAGTCTTAAGATTTTAAGGAAGTGAGTGGAGTCTGGGGTGCTCCTGCTTGGTTGGAATGAAGACCAGGCACCAGACCGGCCCTTTGAGGTCATTGATCATCCTGCTCTTTATGGACCTCTGCCTCCAATCTGTTATCTTTATTATTGCTTTTCCTTTGCTCCAACTGTTTGATTCTCAGATCTGTTGGTGAATCCACAACTTTGTAAAGACCTGCTGTTTTGATTTAGTATTAAAAAAAATAATAATTTCATTGAGTGGCTGCATATTCAGTTCACAAGATTGTTGAAGTTTGACATATTCTAACTCATAACAGTCCCAGAGTTATTCAATCATTTAAAAAGGAATTGAGACCATATTCTATTGTATTCAAACTATGAAGTGAAGTGGAAATACTTCTTCAAATATCCTTCAAGATCTAATGGAAATAATGAAAGAATTCAGCCACTAACATCAGTGTTCATTCATAGTTTCTGGGCATTTCAGAAAGTTAAAAGTTAAGACTGCCACCGTTTTATTTTGGTTATAAAGAATGAGAAGTGACCAAACTGGCTTTCAGTCTCACAATTGGCAGTCGCTCTTGTCAGTTATGGTTTGTTCATTAGTTTTTGAGGGGCAAAAATCCAACTAATAAAAATTCTTACGCGATGCTTTTCTTTATAATTGCATTGTTTTTAACTATAGATAAGCTAAACTATATACTGGACTTTGTTTGCTTTTCTCACCACAAGTTTCCTGTGCTTTGAGACACGATATACTGGACATTTAGGATAAGTAGTAGTAGTAAGTAATCTTTATTTATATACCGCCTTTCACAGACCAGAGTCACAAAGCGGTTTACAATTGTTATTATTTTTGGGCATTGGTCCACTCACTCCACACAGAGATGGGAGCGGGGCCAGTACAGGAGGCGCATGCCAGAACTATTGGACATGTTTTTAGTGGTAGGGGAAACCGGAGTACCCGGAGGAAACCTACGCAGACACGGGGAGAACATGCAAACTCCACTCAGAAAGGCCCTGGTCCGGCCGGGATTCGAACCCAGGACCTTCTTGCTGAGAGGCGAGAGTGCTATCCACTCAGCCACCGTGCCGCTGAGATAAGGAAGAGATTGTCTACGTGTTCGTTATTAACACCTAAGACTGTAAATAGTTTTGAATCAATGTCCTCACTTGCGTAACAAGGGCAAGTTTTTCGTACTTTATCTCTTTTTGTTAATGAATGCTGTTTGTTCTTTTGAAGTTTCTCATTTCTCTCTGTGCTCTTGTTTTGTCCCAGGGGCATCTGTCTGAAGGTTTGGTCACAAAGTGGTACCGATCGCCTCGCCTCCTCCTGTCGCCCAACAACTACACCAAAGCCATCGACATGTGGGCGGCCGGCTGCATCTTCGCCGAGATGCTCACGGGGAAAACGCTCTTTGCAGGTGATTTTAGACGTCTGTGAATGTGTTTAAACCCATAGACTGTGTATGGATGGACAATGCTAATCCTTCAGCTCAATGATGGAAAGTGCTCATTCAATTCAAGGTTTATTTAATAAGGCATCAGAACAGGAGGCACATGCCAGGCCTGTGGTTCATGTTTTTAGTGGTAGGGGAAACCGGAGCACCCGGAGGAAACTTATGCAGACACGGGGAGAACATGCAAACACCACTCAGAAAGGCCCTGATTCGAACCCATTTGCTAACGCAGTCAGAACATATGCCCGTACAAACATATGCCCATAGAACTGTTTAGAAGCTTTTGAACAAGTGGTAGCTGCCAAACTTGGTGAAATGCAACACTTCTTTGCACAAATACTGTCATAGCGTCTGTGCATCTGTGCTGAGTTATTCTGTGAAACGTCGCAGGAAAGGTTTGTCATATTGAAAATGAAATCAAAACGTTTCTCCGGTGCTTGCATATGACAATGCCCCCTCCACAATACGGCCAGTAAAAACGCCGCTCTGAGTTTGGTAAGAGGCAGCACACTATTATTATGAACAAGTCTGGAGAACAGGTTTTTCCATGAACTCAAAATAGTTTATTTGGCACATGTCACTCATCCCCTGCAGACTGTGAGTCATGTTACTGTTGTTCATCCAAAACTACTGTAGCAGTAGATGTCCAGCCGTATACTCAAGCTATAATTTATTTTTTATGTATGTATTTTGAACCTGCACAACACTTTTTTTTTATATATATCAGTGTAACAGACAAATGGTTCGAAAAGGGGTTGGATGAAGCAAATGCAAACTCCTACTATAACTACTATCAGTGACTACATTTTTTTCCTCACCCCTAATTACACCTAGACTTTAGTGCCAAAGTTTCTTCCTGTTTTCTCACCTTTTCCCCAAATGCCGGGAGCCAAACACACACAGGCCTGAACGGGAAGCCTCGTGACTCAGCCCTCCACCCGAAACTCAATTTGAGAGTTTATGCAACGGCTCACCTGACGAGATCAGTAGTCACAAACACGCCACTATGCAAATGTCACAGAGAGATGTGGGCTGGGGGCTTTTTCCCACTCGAATGCAGATGAAATGTCATCGACAAGGCTGCACATATACTCATTACTGTAATTTGTGCTGAATGAGGAAATGAGTATAATGGGTTTAATACAAAGAAAAGTAGCTCAAAAACACAATTTTCTCAGTTCTGATCATGCTGAGACTGGCACAATGGAGTCTGTGTTCCCAGTGTTGATGTGGAGTGTGTCTCTTTCAGGGGCCCATGAGCTGGAGCAGATGCAGCTGATCCTGGAGTCCATCCCAGTGCTGAGAGAAGAGGACAGACAGGAGCTGCACACGGTGATCCCAGTGTTCATCCGCAACGACATGTCCACGCCACACATGCCTCTGAAGACTCTGCTGCCGGAAGTCAGCCCACAAGGTCAGCCCGCTTCCATTCGCTCATTTTCTTCCATTCTACTTTCTCCACAGTAAAACAATGAGGAATGCATTCAACTATATTTTTCTAAATTAAGCCTTCTTTTTTTAGTTGGATTGAACAAGTGTGTAGTGCATTTCTCCTTCCAAAGTCGTGGATTCTTGATATCCCATGTTAAAACAAGTATCAAAACTAGATACTTAATTGAGCTAAAACAATAACAATGACAAAAACAATACAACATTTCAACCTGGGCATTTTCTTAAGCATTTTGAACTTTATCCAAAGAACTAGAAGGCACTGGCTTGCTGGGGCTCAGAGAATAGCCTTTAGTGTGAGGCCTTGTTTAAAGTACATCTGACATGTTAGTACCATAAGAACAAACTCGAACTCCGAGGAGCACAGGGACTGGCCTCCTGCCGATGCCCAGAGTCAGGACTAAACATGAGGAGGTAGCATTACAGATTTATGCAGCTAAAAATGGTTTTCCTCAAAAGGTCTACTCTGACAAAGTTCAAATCCATGTTAAGAGTTCTGAACTCGACAGTATCTACGCTCTTTTTAATGTGCTGTGGGTCTTTATCATTTTAAAGCCTAGTAGCCTAATAGTGTTAGTATGAGTACTGTTAGTATTTGGCCCGTTCCTTACCCCTTTCTCAATATGAGAAGCTAATGGCAGTTCGCCCTCGGGGGGAAAACAAAGTTTGCTGAACCTTTTGCAGTGTTCCCACAAGAGTACAATACTCTGCTTGTGCACAAGTCTCAAATTCCTTCTTCATGTTTTGTTTCCGGTTTGTTACTCGATCTCAGCAGCAAGAATCTCACAACGTTTCTCAATCAGCTGTTTATGTGCGCGGCCTCAGCTCAGGTCACGCACGAGTCCGGGTCGCACACCTCCTGTTGACACTCTCAAAACAACTCTCTTTATCTTTCACTGTGGAAAATTAACGTGTATGTTGGTGCAATACCTTGCAGAATTTAGATAATAAATTCTACTTTTTTTTTCTTGTAATCCTGCTGCAGCTGCCCATGTTTTAACATCTCTCTCTCGTCTACAGCGCTGGATTTCCTGGAGAAGATCTTGACCTTTAATCCCATGGACCGTCTGACGGCGGAGGAGGCGCTGGCCCACCCGTACATGTCCGACTACTCTTTCCCGCTGGACGAGCCCATCTCCCTGCACCCCTTCCACATCGAGGACGAGGTGGACGACATCCTGCTCATGGACCAGAGCCACAGCCACACGTGGGACAGGTACGGCACTCACTGGTTTCATTCCAGTTTAGAGGGAAGGGCGGGGCCTGCCCTTTGCTGGAGAAAAGTGTTGTCAATATGGGACCTGTCTGTGCAGCAGGTATCACGACAGCCAGCTGTCTGAGGCCGACTGGAACCTGCGCAGCACCCATGACCCTGAAGAGGTGCAGGTGGATCCCAGAGCCATGTCAGACGTCACGGACGAGGAGGAAGTCCAGGTGAGACTCAAACACCGCTCTGTAAATGTTTGTTTTCATCTGAAGTGTTTGTTTTCCTGATGGCGCTGTGCTTATGGTAACGTCTCCCCTCCTCCTCAGGTGGACCCTCGTAAATACGCAGACGGGGAGCGCGAGAAGTTCTTGGACGAGCCGTCCTTTGATTATTCCATGTTCTCGGCGGAGCGCTCGTGGTCGGACGAGTACCATGAGAACAAGTACTGTGACCAGCAGTGCGGCCACACCTGCAACTACAAGGCCGTGTCCCCGTCCTACCTGGACAACCTGGTGTGGCGGGACAGCGAGGTGAACCACTACTACGAGCCCAAACTCATCATGGACCTGTCCAACTGGAAAGAGCAGAGCAAAGAGAAGACCAAGTCCAAGACCAAGTGTGAGAAGAACGGCCTGGTGAAGATGGCGTTGCAGCAGAAGAGCGTCTCGGAGAAAGACCGTGAGCAGGAGAAGCACCAGGCTCCACAAAACCAGGGCTTTGACTTCGACTCTTTCATTGCCAGTACCATCAAACTGAGCCTGCAGCCTGAGCCTTGTCCAGAGGTGGCGCTGCTGAGCCAGGTGGGCCTCCTGAACGAGCTCAACACATCTGTGTTTCAGCTGGAGGCGCCTCGCTCCGGCTCCATGTCAAAGTCCATCAGTCAGGAGAAGGAGGAGAAGTGTCTGGTGAACCTGGCACAGCTCGGAGACTCGGTGTGGCCTGCGTTCGGCTGCGGAGAGACGGACGACCGCAAACCAGACGGCGGCTACACTAGTTACCTGGACCAGCTGTTCGGGCGGAAGGAGGAGTGTCCTGCAGAGACTGTGGCCTGTCCCGGGGCAGAGCTGCAGAGCTGTGGGACAGAGATCGTCCTGAACGTGCAGCTGGACTCTTTCTCCGAAGACCTGCCGCTCAAGTCCATCCAGGCCTCGCTGTCGCCCTGCGCCCTCAAGTGCTCGCCCCAGATCGCCCACAAAACCTACAGCAGCATCTTCAAACACCTGAACTGAGCCGCAGCCGTCCTCACAGCGCAGCAGCTATAGGCAATTTCATAAGAATATAGTTCATAATTGTACTTGAATCATTTCATATCTTCTTTTTTTATTATGGTTCTTTTACTATTATTATTTTGCCTTTTTTACGAGATGCTTGTTTAAGAGTGGTCACTCTGAGCCTTTGAAACACCTCCATGACTTGTGTCCGCGCCCTCATGGCTGAAACGACATGTTGCTTGCACATCCAGTACTGTACCAGAGCGGGAAGGAAGGACATTTGTGGACATTTCTCGACATATATTTTGACTGTTTGGGCGGGGCACAAAAGAAGGAGGGGCACACGCCAACATCGCTTAGGCTTTTTTTTTTTTTTTTACATCTTTTTCCTCACATCCTGCAAACCAGGGGGTCTTTCCTTTTATCAGTTTTTACTCTTTGATTAAACGTTATGTCCCCAAAGAAGGCTTCCTTAAAACGCTGTCATACTGTAAATCTTTCACATGATGCCAGCAGCAAATCATTATATCGTAGGCAAGGGGTGTCACACCGCTCCTCAAAGGGCCGATGTGTCTGCTGGTTTTCGTTCCAACCAAGCAGGAGCACACCAGAATCCAGCCATTTCCTCGGGTGGGTCCAGTCTCAAACCTGGAGACTTGAGGGAATGGCTGGAGTCTGGTGTGCTCCTATTTTAGTTGGGAACAAATCTACAGCCACACCTGCCCTTTGAGGAACCAGTCACAGACCCCTGTCGAAGGCGTTGATGTAAAAAAAAAAAGTTATCTACCTCAAGGTAACGGTTAACGGCGAGTCTCTGGAGCCAAACTAGTGCTTTACTCACGACCATCCTCATACCACGACACGGACAGGTCTCGTAGAGCGAAACGTGTCGAAAGCATTTAACATAGTGACGTGTTATCAATAATCATTATTTATTTCTAGCGAGATTTGCGATATTTATTTTATCAAAAAAAGGTGTTATTTCAATGTGGTTATCGGAGAGGCGTTCGAGGAGACGGACTTCCATGTTCATTTCGGCACTAAATAGGCGTGTTGGTGTTGTTTATTTTATGATAAGATACAACTTGATCTATGTTCGAGAGAAAAAAAGGCTTCAAACGGCTTTTTTTAATTTAATTTTCCATCAAATCTTGTCCAAACGGATGACATTCTTTCGTTTTTTTTTTTTTGTTTTTTTTAAGGTGCATTCTGTCTTTTAGTGGAAAACCCGCTTCATCGGTTAAAAAAGCGCCTAAAAGTCTTAATTTTTGTATCTAAATGTGATGTACAGAAGTGTGCATGGAGGCAGCAGAGAGGTACATTCAAAGTCAGTGTTGAGTATAAACTGTGCGTTGGTTTTAATCGTTATCGTTATTTTGGTTTTTTTAACGTCCTTTTCAAAAAGCGAAGCATGATGAATTAGGTTTAAGGTGTAGCATGTAGAACACTTGAGGACTTCTTTTGTAATCATTGGTTATCCTGTTCTACAAAATATCAAAATAAAATAACTGGCAAAGAGTCTGGTCTCGTCTTTTGTTGTGAATATTTGGTCACATTTTGAAGAGACGGGATCATTGAAAGTTTAACGTATTTGAAAATGGGATTTCTTATTCCATGGAGTGCATGTCACCATCAACAGATCCAAATCATAGTTTAAACTCAAGAAATGCTATATAAAAAACAGATAGGAGCCATTGGTCCATTGGAAGGGGGGTGACCACTGTCCATAAATGTCCCCAGTCGTCCCTGTCCTGCGTTGGCAGAGAAATCTTTTTGGGGAGGCCCAGATTGAGACCGGGATTTGCTCCCACAGATGTACAGATTGTAGAGCCAGGAGAGAAACGGGGGACAGCTCAGGGGTTCGGGTCTGTCAAGGTAATAAAAGTCAATATAATAGAAATGTAGAGACATTTTGGAAGTTTGAAGTTTTGTTCTGAACAGTTGCCATAAAATTCTTCTTTTGAGGTATTACATTTTTCTTAAACGGCCTTTTAAAATACCCTTAAAAAATAAAGGTCTTGAATGAGTTGTCTAAATCATCACATCAATAAATAAAAACTAGTAGAAGGGCTCATATCTAGTACAGTACAAACACATCTGAACAAACCAAGAGAGTCTGACATCCCTATTTGTTCAGGTGAGAGGAGTCTGCTTCTGTTACTGTACCAATACTGAAAACTACATATTGAATCTGACTTCACATTAAGTTGAAGAAATGTAAGGATCACTAACAACCTTTAAAACTTTGAAAATCTCAGTGGTTTTGCCCCATTGTTTGTTAATTGGATAAGTGTGTCAAATAGAAAATTGACCCCATTTGCAGAAACTGCGTGTCCGTGAGGCGTGTGTATCTCTGCTCACTTACAAACAAAAGTCTATAAATATCATTCCAGGCCGATGCAGTTAGTGTTTGGGCCTAACCTGTTTTTTTTTTTTCTTTTGTAATGGCACAAGGATCCACCTCGTTCATTAAACTCTACTTCAGACGTAAAATGTAATCAGAGCCTCTCCCCTGAACTGAATCTAGGCCAAAGACGGAGCCATGCACTATGTTTTCTTTATGCTCACGTGTGTAAACGCTGAACTCATTTTCTTTGTCTGGAAACCTGCAACGTGAACTCCAGATGTAACCCAATACTTATGATAAAGTCTCCACTATTCACTCAAAAAGACCTCAAACCTCTTGATCCCTCTTGTCACGCCGGTCTAACAAAAATATGTTTGGCCTAATTCAATTAAATTCATAAATAAACGTCATCCTTGTTTGAGATTATTCTGACTGTTTTAAAACAAGACTTGTCAATGGAGGGATCTGTTTTTGTCTCATTATGTAGTGCCACTCTTTCATTCCATATGGAGCCTGCAATACCAAGTGACAAATGGTTAAAGGGCCCATATCACGGTTTTTGACTTTTCTCTGCTTTAAACATGATTACAGTGCTATTTGGCCTTCATACACATGCCCAGAGTAGTTTATTCATTGATTCTGTCAATCTTTAGTAAGAGAGCAATCTGTCTCCTTCCCCAGCGTGAGGCACAGAAACGCTCGGGTCCACTTCAGTGACGAAAACCACACTGATGACGCGCATGACCCCGTTTGCTTTCTATTTAAAATAGTTTTTAAATACTTTCGTCAAAACGGGGTAAACAATACACAATTAGTATGCTGTTTGTTTTCAAAAATAATAAAAATAAAAATAAATTAAAAGCCGGCGGGAGGTGATTGACGGATCAAAACAGCGAATCAGAGCGCACAGGCTCCCGAGTCCAGCGTCTGTGGTCTGGTCTCGCGGACACCACATAGAGCTGCTGTTTTTATGCTTTTGTCAGCAACTAAAAGTGTTAGGATCACGTCAACTTGAATGAAGTGTGTTATGCGTGTAAATATGTGACACACTATTTGGCCCTAAGAGGAAGAAAGCGGCTCGACTTTTTTCATCTGTTCATCTCATGGATCTATTATAATACCGGTTCATCTGCGACACTTCACTGAGACTGTTCCAGAACTACAGAGACAATGGAACTGGACTTACTCAAAAGCTGATCTGGAAACACGTTATTCCCAAGGTAAAAGACGTAACTCGGACCCCTTCGATCTGTAAGTAGTGACGCTAACTCGCTGATTGTCATTGTTTGCTGTGCCAACATGTGCAAAAGTGTTGTTTGAGTACCTTATTCTTTACTGTATCTTTTATTTTTAAATAAATGCATGAAACAACTTGATATGGTTTACCAATATTTATTGAGAAATGAATATTTTTTTTGTTACAAACGTGTGCAGTCAAAGTACTGTTTCCAGCATGTAAACATGCCCAACTTAGGTAAAAATGATAATAAGAGTCATACTTTTCTTAGTGCAAAGGGACACAAAACACTGCTAAACAACGTGTGCATTCAAAGTACTGTTTCCAGCATGTAAACATGCACAACATAATAAAATAAATTATAACATAAATAATAATAACAAATAAGACTGTTATTAGTGCAAATGTACAAAAAAACACTGCAAAGGCACACAGCAATAACAATAATACAATTTTAAGAAATAGGAAAAACCTATTCTGCACAACAAGGGCAAAACCATGGCGTGTCACCAGAGGGTTTATTAACAAGCCCCACACAACTGAAGTGAAACCACTGGACTGGGCAGTTCTGGTTGTCACAGGCCACCATGTCACCCTCCTCTGGTCCAGAACAGAGACACCACACTTCCTTGGCTTTTTTGGCTGGCTGCCTTCGCGGCCTCTTCCCACCTACTTGTTGTGGCTGTGGCTGCTGTAGTTCACGTAGCACACTGTGACCAGGTGATGGTTGACAGGTGGGGATAGTGTAGTATTGCACCGCAAGTTCAGGGAGAGCCACCATCACAAAGAAGTCCTGTGCCTTCTGGAGTCGTGCCTTCCAAAAAGCACGGTCTGGAGCTATGCGCAGAGTCACTGTGTCCATCAAGGTCCACACAACAAAGTCGCAGTAGGACCTCTCTGTCACAAACAGTTGTGTCTGGACTTGGGTGTAATACGGGTGACTCTTTTTAAGGTGCACCTGACCATCAACAACATGCAAGCAGAAGTTGCGGTCATCCGAGGAGCAGGCTTGGAGGATAGTGCAGTTCTTGTATTTAGCTGGGCATTTTACCTCCAAGCAGCCTTTCCCACAACAGATGCAGCTCACGATGGCATCTGGTGAGGCTCCTACCTGTGGGAAGGCCGGGTTGACAAAAAAGCCACAGGTTAGCACTTGGTGATTGGTGTGCAGGGGGGCAGTTTGGACACTGTATGCCTGCCTCGCCGTGTCCTCTTGTCTAATTCCCCAACTGGTGGCAGCTGTTCCTGGCCCACGAGCTGGATAACACACCCTCCTAACGATGGACAGTGCTGGAGAACTGAGGTCTGTTCCATACACGCTATGCATCGAGGAGGCCGTGACTCTCCCTGCCCGTGCAGCAAACCAAAGGGATGACGTGTGCTGTCCCCTTGTCCGTCTCTCCATCTGCACTGCCTGTTCCTCAGACACATCAG